CATTTACCTACGCCAGCATCTTGTTTCCACGTTTGGAATATTTTAAAGCCTTTGGAGAAATCTCTGAAGAAAGTCTGTTGCAAGTAGCCAGTTTAGGGAGGTCATGCCTGGTTCCATGCTAGGAGAAAAAGCCCTGAGTTCACTTTACAAGCAGAGTCTCTACTCTGAGAAAGGCTGAGGTTACACTCATATCTTTTTAAAAAATATTTTTGATTGATTTCTGAGAGGAAGGGAGAGAGAGCGATAGAAACATTGATGAGAATCACTGGTCGGCTGCCTCTTCCACACCCCCTACTGGGGATCAAGCTCACAACCTGGGCATGGGCCCTTGACTGGAATTGAACCCAGGACCCTTCAGTCCATAGGCCAATGCTCTATCCACTGAGCAAAATCAGTTAGGGCACTCATATCTTTTAAAAGAGTAAAGGGACGAAATGGGAAATATATTTATAGTCTAAAAAAATTTACCCACAGATTTACCATTTCTGGAGATCTTCATTTCTTCCTGCAGATGTGACTTCCTGTCTGCTCTCACTTTTCATCCTGAAGAATTTCCTTTAGTATTCCTTGTGAAGCATGTGTTAGCAATGAATTCTCTTAGTTCTCCTAGGAATGTCTTTCTTCACTTTTATTTTTGAAGGATTATTTTGCTGATGCTGAATTCTTGGTTGATGGGTTTCTTGTTCTAGGACCTTGAATGCCTGCTCTGCATTCTGGCTTCTGTTATCCCAGAGACACCAGCGTTAATCATGCTGCCCCCTTGCACTTGGTGAGTCGCTTTTCTCTTGCTGCTTTCAAGGTTCTTTTTGTCTCTCAACATTTTCACTATGATGTGTCTGGATGTGAATCTGTTTACACCATTCTTTGTCAACTTTTTCAATGTGTAGATTCATTAAAAAATAAATAAAATGTGGGTCCCGCTGCTGTGGTTGAGCACTGACCTATGAAACAGGTCAACAGTTTGATTCCTGGTCAGGGCACATGCCTGGATTGCAGGCTCGTTCCTGTGTGGGGCGTGCAGGAGGCAGCCGATGAATGATTCTCTCTCATCATTGATGTTTCTATGTCTCCCTTTCCTTTCCACTCTGAAATCAGTAAAAAATATTTTTAAAACATCATTATATTCTCCTTTCTTCAGGTTGTTGTTTCCTACTTATCTATCTTCGAGTTACTGATCTTCTGTGATGGCCCTCTTAGTGATTTTTGTTTTCTTATTTTTCAACTCCAAAATTTCCATGTTAAGTCTTTTAAAACAATTTTTCTTTGTGATTATCATAATTTTTTTACTTTTTATAAACATGATTTCCTATACTTTAACTGCCTTGAAATCTTTACAAAATTCATCATATGGGGATGATCAAGATAGCTTCTACTGGCTGCTTTATTCCCCTCTGAGTATAGTCACACTTCATTTCTTTGCAAACCTAGTAATCTATGAAATTAATCCATGCTTTCTCATGTGTGATCAATACCTGTGAATTGCATGTGTTTGAGAATAAGCTTTTTCTCTATTCTGCAGGTATAAAGCTTGGTATTGCTATATGATCTATGTATTTTATTACTTAGGTCTTCCATAGCCCTACTTTTTCCCACTTGACTTTTCTTGGACTAAAAGTTCAAACCTCCTACTCTTAAGTGTATTTCTATTTTCCGTTGAATCTATCTATATAATATATATTTTGGGTGTGGGTTGTAATATTTAGTGCAAAATTATTTGTTAACTGTCATATCATTATTTTAAATTGTGCCCTTTAGCAATACATATTTAATGTCTATTGGCTTGAATTCTACCTTGTGCTCTCAGGGTGATCATTTCTGCTTTTTTTTTGTTTGTTAATCCTCACCTGAGGACACTTTTTCCATTGATTTTTAGAAAGAGTAGAAGGGAGGGGAGGGGAGAGACAGAGAGAAACATTGATTGGTTGCTTCCTGCACGTGTCCCAACTGAGACTGGGGATCAAGACTGCAACCAAGGTATGTGCCCTTGACTGGAATGGAACCCGCGATCTTTCAGTCTGTGGGCTGATGCTCTAACCACTGGGCAACCAGCGAGGGCTCCATTTTCCTTTGTTTAGCCTTTCTGAATCATGAGTTTATTCAAAGTTTTCCTTCCACATTTTATTAGTATCACTTCTTTCTACTTTGTTAGAGTAACATTTATATATTTTCTACTTGTCACATCTTTACTTCAGTCTAATTAAATATATTCATTGCTCCTATTTGTCCTTTTGCTGAAATTTCCCATTATAATTCTTTTAAAAAATATATTTTATTGGTTTTTTACAGAGAGGAAGGGAGAGGGAGAGTTAGAAACACCGATGAGAGAGAAACATCGATCAGCTGCCTCCTGCACACTCCCTACTGGGGATGTGCCCACAACCAAGGTACATGCCCTTGACCGGAATTGAACCTGGGACCCTTCAGTCCGCAGGCCGACACTCTATCCACTGAGTCAAACCAGTTAGGGCCCATTATAATTCTTAAAAAACAACAACACACAAAACACTCACCCGAGGATGTTTATTGATTTTAGAAAGAGGGGAAGGGGGAAGAGAGATTGGCTCCCTCCCATATGCACCCTGACTAGGGACTGAACCTTGACCTCCTGGTTCATAGGTAGATGCTCAATCACTGACCCACTCCAGCCTGGCTGAGCTCTAATTTTGTTTTTCTATAAACATGTTACTTGAAAGATAGCTTTTCTGGATATAAAGTCCTTGATTCACATTCATTTTTTTTTGCATTGAATCTCTTCAAAATGCTGCTTCACTTTTGTTTTGCTTTGTATGCTGCTGTTGAGAGAATTTTTATTGATTTATCTGTGTTTCATCTTCCTTAAGCCTCCCAGTGCATTCTCTTCATCAGATAGCAAGTAGGGAAATAAAGTGTAAGTATTCTCCACAACATAATCCATAGAGTAGGTGTGGCTATGGATGGCTTTATTTGCTGTCTTCATAAGGATAGTTCGGATGGAGATAATCAGATTTAGGTGCCTATCAGCACCCTCAAACACACTCTATTTCTGGGACGAAGGTTTTATGTCCACAGGAAAGATGGCATCAGGCCCACACATCAGAATACTGTTATTTCAGATGTAAAGATGCACCTTTCCCATCCACATTACCTGACACTGAACTGCGTCTTACACCTGGTGGCATATCACAGACAGCAGCGCACACCTGCGCACCTGGTCCAGCTGGCAGCGCGCAGCTGGTGTGCTGCTGTCTCTGTCCGACTTGCGTCGGCTGCTTTCCTGTGTGCACCCTCACTGCAGACAACAGGAAGGGCAGCGCGCAGCGCCAACCCTGGCCCTGTGCCCGGTGGACATGGGCTCCCCATGTCGCAGCCGCCGCCTCTCTCAACAGAGCGTCCTTCCCGAGCACTTCAGAACCCTGTGTTTCTGGAAGAAATTCGGAACCTGCATCAGATTTGAGTGTTTTCCTCAGCATTTTGCCTAACTGACATTTTTTGGCATTTACATTATTGGATTGTGGTCATTTTACAGAAATAATTAAACACATTATTTTTGTTTAAAATGTTGGTATTTTTTGAGGATTGAAGTTAAATAATGTGCTCTACCATCTTTCCCGGGAATTTATACTTTTTAGAAGTAGCAATAAACACAGCTGTTACAATTTTGACTTGGAAAGTACAAAGCAGTTTAAAAGTTACTATCCTCATCATTTATAAACTAATGGTTCTTGTATGTTTGTAGTTCTATGTGGCCAAGGCTTAAATTAGTAAGAAGGTAGGAAATTTCAGAAACATTATTGAAATTATGCAGGCTCCAGACATCTGACACCACTTTTCACAGTACTAAGAAGTTAATATTTTTCTACCTCACCCAATTCCCACAAAAATAACATCCTAGATTTGTAGAAAAGTAAAATCAAGAGAGTATTCTGTTGAATACGTTACATACACAAATATACTCATTATCAGGAATGTAACTTTATTTTCGTTAACAAACAAACAAAACAGATTCACCTGCGAAGAGCCCTGCACCTGTGAGCTGCAGCAGCAGCCACGAGGCCGTGTGGACGAAGTACCTCAAGCAAAACCAAAACCACATTTTAAAAAGGTGTTATTTTAAAGGATGAACACAGATTATAAAAATGACATTTCTACAATTTCATTCCTTCACTGTTAGTAAGAGGGGAAAAAGGTTTAATACTTATGCAACATGGGTGCCTGCAACAAATATTCACACCACCTCACTGGGTTTGCTAAGGGAAAACAGCTGAGGTACAGCTTCATAATGTAATTTTTAGTGCTTTATATTGTTTTTGGATATTTGGAATCAATCAACTGAAAAGAAAAAACTTCTCATTTTCCTTAGCTTAGACAAAGCCTGCAGTTCTATGTCCCTAGGAATCCATTCACAATATTCTAGAACATCGAGGGCATGATTCACAGGATCGTCACAATAACCCTCTTCCTAAAACAGATTAGATCTCCCCGTAATAAACGGAAAGGTCAATCATGAAAACAGAATAGGATCTGATTTAAATTCTCACACAGGAAGTCTAATGCTATTCTCTGGGTAGAGAGGCTAAGACTAGCTGTCAGAAATGGTGTAACGGCAATACTTAGTGTTTGTAAGAATTTTAGGATTCAAATGGAATGAGAAGTTTATAATAACTGCACAGAAGTGTTCCTTTGTATGTTAGCCACACTGAGCGCCCAAGGCGCAGCCTGCAGCGAGGGGCGGAGCCGGACCTGCACTGGGCGCTCCCTCGGAAGCCCTGAGGAGCGTCCAGTCTTCACCAGGAGGGAGGGACGGTAACTGAAGCTCCATTTTTAAACAATGACAAGAACAAAAGGAAGAATATAAAATACTAGTATAATGAACATTTAGATAGCACTAAACAGCATGATTTCACACAGTTGTATGCTTTCACCAGTTTTCCTTAAAAAACAACCATCAGTTCCTGGGCTTTTAGATGTTTTCTTTGTAAAAATAACCAGCATCCTTCGCATGGTCATGCCGAGGCCGCGGTCACCGTGCCCGATGCCCAGTCAGTTGGTGCAGGCCTCCGACGCGTGGCGAGGCTGTGTGCTGGCGGCCAGCCCTGAGCCTCCGGGACTAGACCAGGACCGCCTGGGCTACCTCCTTGATCGTGGCCGCAGCTTTCTCCAGCTCCTCCTCCGTCTGCTCCACGGTGACCACCACCCTGATGCTGCGAGATGGGGAAGGACACAAAACGCCCCCTGCTCAGCCTGCCGCCTGTTCTCACCGAGACAGCAGGTGCGGGTGGGACAGGGCCCTCTGACCTGCAGGCCCCAAACATCTGACACCACCTGTCACCGGAGCTTGTGGCTCCTGCCTGGACGGTTAGTGTGTCTACTCCACGTGACCTGGCAGGGGGCTCCGCCCAGCGACGCCAGGAAACCGGTCTTTTACATAAACTACTGCTACAGCAGTCCCAGACCCCAGGCCAAAGTTCCAATTAATGGACTGTCTGGTTGCTCCTGTCGTAATTCATTAAGTCACGTGGAAGCTCTACAATACTTTGCAGCAAGGCAAACATTTTCAAATTTGCAGAAAATTGAAGACAAATAGCTCCTCTGAGCAGTTCTACCTCTGTCCCCTACAAACATTTACTGTATCGACTGGACACATTTGCTGAGCTGCACTGTGCTGGGCATGGAGCCCAGGGCATAAGGCCAACACGGCCCCTGTCCTGACACTCAGTCACACCTCTGCCTGGGCGCAGCAAGGAAGGAGGGCAGCGTCCTAAGGGTGCTTGTGAGCTGTTGCTGGGGGCCTGCAAACCCAGCGCCCCGTCTCTGGCTCCCATGTACGAGGCCCCCCGGGATGGCTCCAAGCTCACTCCTGCTGCTGCCTTTCACGCCCGAGCTCTGGCTCCCACCTGCACCCGGGGGCGCCACGCCACGTACACTCTACTCCCTTCTGGAAGGCTCCATGCCCACCAGGTCGTCTGACATATTCGATTTTCTGGGCTCAGCTTACACGTCAGCTGCTCTCGGAAGCCCGAGTCCCTCCCAGGCCTACTTCTCTGTGACCTCACTGACCCCATGCCGTGCCCTGCAAACCATGCCCCAGCGTCTCCCTCCTTCACTGCACTGGACGCGGACGGGGGGCGGGGGGTGGTGGTGGTGGTGTGTTAAACCAGGAGTCCAGGCGCATCCCCACGCTGGCTTCCGCCCCTCCGATCCCGCCACTGCTGTTTGCCTGGGTTCCATAAGGGTGTGTGGACACTGCCGCACACCGTGTGCTGTGAGGGTGGGAAGCACCTGCCATCTCAGTTCTTGGGACCTCAGACATTTCTCAGTCAACTAGGAGGGCATTGTGAGTCCTGGGGGCTTTTCAGTTAGAATGTGAAAACATCTAGTTTGAAAACAGACAACAGCCGATGTACTCTATTTTAATGATAAACATTCTTCCTCGCCCTTTCAAAAACTTCAAACCATGACACATCTCACCCAGATGTTAGAGAAGGAACAAAAGTGAGGCCATACTTCAACGTCTACCAACCTTGGAGGCGGGAGGCACTTCTCTTCTCTCTCCAGGTAGCGCGCCTGGGTGAGGGCGATGCTCCGGTCCATGCACTGCAGGAAGAGGGCAGTCAGCCACAGCAGGCGCAAGGGGCACCCCTGTGGCAGGTCTAGCGCCCGGTCCGATGCCAATGGCTGGAGACCAGTGAGGGCAGCACCGTACGCGGAGCCCTCCACCACCCACCACGGCGGGAGCCCGCGTGGCCAACAGGACTTAAAGATATGGCTGGAGCCACCAGAGACGGAGCGTTAGGTTGACTTCATTGACATGCAAACGGCCACAGTAGCTGGTAGTCATTTCAGACAAAGCAGAGTTGGGACAGGGGCACATGCCAGCAAAGCCCGCAGGATGGACTGGGCCTGGTGCCAGCAGAGCGTCTAGAAAGGGCTCGGAGCTCAGCTCTCTCTGACCGCCTGCTCCCCCTGGCCAGTGCCTGGCCCGCCAGGCGGCTGCACACGTCTGAGGCCGCTCTCCAGGCCGGCGTCACCTGCTGACACTTTGGAACTGGGAACACAATCTATCAAAACGAAGGCAGAATGAATCAGAGGAAGGGAGCGCGTTACCGTGGTTTCTTCTTTGGGGTGACGAAAGCGTTTGGAGTCGAGTCAGACTTGTAAAAAAGAGCACATGGCGGCACAAGGAGTGACCCGTGCGTGGCGGCCAGGCAGCCGCAGGAGGGGCATTCTCTCAGTGTCAGGGCAGGGTTTCTGAGGGGCAAGGACGGGCACCCGGCAATGGCACGGGCTGATCTGCGTCCAGAAGTGGACACCTGCCCGGCTGCCCCCAGCCTGGCTAGTCAGAAGCATCCAACCCACCTCAGTGTGTACAGACCAACTCGACAAACCCTGTTAGTTCTACAAAGCTTAAGGCTCACAGCTCCAGTCTCCTGTCCCTCAGGCACTGGGAAGAGGGAGGAGGGCGGGACCGCCGGCCCTGAGGTGGAACCTGTGGCGAGGCACCCACGTGAGAGCTCTGCCCGCCTCCCACATGCGCGTGGCAGACAGTGCCATCCCCAGAGCCCGCCCTGCTCCCTTGCCCGCCCACCGTGGCTGGAAGACAGCCCGCCAGGCTCTCTGCTAGAGGGCGATCTCGCCGCCCTCCCTCCCGTCTTGTCTCTGCAGGGACAGCGAGATACACGGCCGGAGTGGGGCTCTGGTCCCGGCCCCAGGGAAGGCCCATGTCCCGCACACACACGTGCAGAGAACGGCGCCGTGAACCCCAACGCGGTTCCAGGCCCACTCTGCAGCGGCCACTCCTGCCTGGGAAGCTAACTCACCGCACAGGAAGGCCCTGTGATCGCACTGACCGCCTGGCTTGTCCCTCCGGCTGGTGTTTAAGCTAGAACTTGCTTTGGTACCACGGGGTGCTGTCACTCCTCCTGTCTGTACACTTATAACAACACCGAGGCAGGCACTGGCTGACAGGACGCTGCTCCCTTGAGAGCCTGTCTTTTTCACGTCTGTGGAGATGTCTGACCGGAGGGGACAGCTGTGACACTGCCTCCCTCGGCAGGTGAGAGCACTCCAGCTTCATCAGGGACCTCACGTTCTGCGTCTGGTGAGACCGTTTTTTAAGAGGACTGACCCCAGATGGCCAGATTGCAGGAAGCTGTCCAGGAACCTGTGGTTCCAGGTGATGTGGTACACACACCGCAGGACGCAGGACATCTGAGGCAAGCTGTGAGCCAGAGGTGGCCGCACACTGCGCCGATCCTGAGCAGCCACACGGCAGCTGGCAGCCGGCAGCCGGCAGCCATCACACTCACTGATGCCGGGCGGAGGGATGCGGAGAGAGCAGGTGGAGAATAGCGTGCAGCCCGTCTCACTCCCGTGTGTGCTCCTGATGGAAGTGCAAGGCATGCAGGCTCTGGAGCCGTAGGGCCCCTGGGCATTTCTGCGGGGAGCAGCATGGAGGGAAGTGGGGGCGGGGTGGGGGGGCTGCTGAACAGAAAAGGGCAAGTGGTCTTCCCCAGGGGTCTCTTCTTGGTTAGTAACCGAGTTACAATTAGTAGTAAACTGCCTCTCAGACATTAAATACATTGACACCCAACTTAGCCATGGCTACCAAGTGGCCTTCCGTTACGAGGTCACTATGGCCTGTTCCTGAGCGATGCTGGGATTCACCCTGGCAGTCAGCTGTCCAGTGCTGCCTGGGGTCACTGCACACCATGCGGCCCCACCACGTGTAAGAAAGCCTGGTGCTGTACATGGTGAGCAAAAGGGTTTTCTGGAAGGTTAGTGACTCAGTAGAAGCAAGAGTATTTTACATGTGAATACAATGTGGCCCAGAACACAGCGTCCTCAGTGCAAGCTGAAACCACTAGCGGCGTGAGCTGTCCCTGTCAGACATGCTAGACTCAATTGGGGACGAGCACCATTCCGTGAGGGGGACCACGCTCTTCCATTCCCCCAACCCCGGGGCAAAGAGAGCTGTGAAATGACAGAAAAGGCTGCTCGGGTCAGGGAGGCGTGGGGCAAGCAGAACCGCTGGGAGGGCTGGCACTCACCTGCCGGACGATCTCCTGCAGCAGCTTGGCATCCTGCTCACGGGACCCAGTGCTGGCTTCCAGCTGCAGGTGGAAGGCTGGGGACAGGGCCTCCCCCACCACTTTCAGCCCAGAAATGCTGGAGGGGAGACACGCACAGTCAGAGCCCCACCCCTGCCAGCTTGGCGTCTCCACACAAGTAACTGCCCACGGTCTGCACTAGTGCACGCCACTCACACTGACTGTTACAGGAACCTCCGGAGGGGGGATTCCGGTTCAACCAAAGTCAAATGCATGCTCTGGCAGTGCTCGCAGGCCAGGACCCCGCCTCGCGCTCCTGCGAGCGGGCTGGGAGGAAGGACCCGGCTGCTGGACACCTCTGGGTCACATGTCACAGGCTCAGGTGGCTCCTCATGGGTCCTGAGCCCCTTGGCCTCCGCCCTGCTGTTTCCTCTCCTCACCTGCTCTCTCCCACTCTCCGGTGGCCAGCGCTGGTCGCTCCTGGTCTCAGCTGTCACTCCCAGTGCAGGGAGGGGCTGCACCATCATGCTCTACACCAGTGGTTCTCAACCTTCCTAATGCCGCGACCCTTTAATACAGTTCCTCATGTTGTGGTGACCCCCAACCATAAAATTATTTTTGTTGCTAGTTCATAACTGTAATTTTGCTACTGTTATGAATCGTAATGTAAATATCTGATATGCAGGATGTATTTTCA